ACAGCCATGTGTTGGTGAAAACGACGCTGGTAGCAGGAGGTTGAATGCTCGTCTTTGTTCTGGAGCTGCCGCGGCTGTGTCACAGGGACAGGTGGATGGCTACCCCTGTCAGACCCCGCCGCTCACACACTAATGACATTTAACACGGCTATACAGCGCTCACACACACACAGTGGGAACCCTGCATGTTTCTCCACCCCTCTCAATAAACGCACACTGTGTGCCCACTCATCCATCTTAAAACTGTCTCTCACTTCATCCTACCCTTTGACCCCGTCACCAATGTCAAAATAAAGAAAACAAGCGTCAAAAAAGCATCAAAAAGCTTGATGCTATGCCTAAATTCTTAATAAGTGGCACACTGGTCTTATTGATCAAACATTGTTAAAGTTTTGTTCTTTTATTTGTGTCTGATATGACCGTATAACCTTAAATAATACATCTTTCATAATTCATTTTAATGACAAGCTTTTTAAGTGTAACATTTGTAATAAAATTAGTCCAACCATGTATTTTTAAATGAATTTACTCACATGACTACTTCTTCTTTTTTTTTTTGTGATGTGCATCTGATTTATGTGCTTTGTGCTTTGGAATGGCAATAATAATAAATATTACTATATATAATAATAACTATTATTATTATTATTGGTTATTTACTAATATATATAATATTTGTTTTATATATAAATATATATGCACACACAGTTATTTCTCTGACACAAACCTGACCAAATTTAACCATTCATTTCACTAAAAATGCAGAGGAAAAAAAATTATTTTCCCCCAAATCCTCAATGACTTCACACTATCCTGTTCTGCTTGTGTGTGTTAATAGGATGCAGGTGCACCCAAAAAATCCCCTCAGCGACAAGGGAGAACATCACAGACTCCAGCGCTGGCAATGAAAGCAAACCCCTGAAAATACATGAATAGATAAAAGAGATATTGCAAGCGCAGACACAAACCACAGAGCTGTGGCCCGGTCATCACAGCGACGCTGTCCCAGCATGCCAAGTGGGCAACAGAAGGCTGTGCGAGTGGAGTGGAGAGGGGCTTTGTGGGTCAGCAGGCAAAGCAAGGCTCTAGTCTGTTGTAGTGGGCATTTGTGAGTGTGTATCTGGTTAGCCCTCATCTCTGAGGTATTACAGGAGTGTTTGATTGTCTAGGTGTGTGTGAGAGAGAGAGAACATATGCTCATACTGTTTGCCAGATACACACTGCTTGTTGAGTTTTGAGGAGTGACAAGTTTGCTTTTTATAATGGTCACTGAATTGAGTCTCACTCTGGAGATAAACTTGACACAATCATCATTATTTTTGTGTGTGTGTGTGTACCAACTTACCTATACGGTGAAGTCAAATTTATGAACAGAAGTGTACAAGTGTAAATCAAACAAAACCTCAATTTGGGGACTTCCTCATTTGTGAAAACATAAATTAAGTAAATATTTAATTATTTTATGTTTAAGGGTGTTTTAAATTATTAATAATTATTCATTTTGTTGTTTAAATTATTATTATTATTATCATTATTAAATGATTTTAATAATGATAATAGTAATAATTATTATTATAACAATTATTTAGCAATAATAACAATAATAATAGTTATCATTATTATATTACTGTTAGGATATGGGTATGAGCTAGTCTATGGCTACATTTACACTAGTGTGTTTTGTTTCAAAACGCATAACTTTTGCTACGGTTACGCCTGTCGTTTACACTACTCTGGCGTTTTCGACCCTCGAAAACAGAGACTTTCGAAAACGCAGACCCCGTTTTAGTTTGAAAACTCCGGGGTTGCGTTTCAGTGTAAACGGACCAAAACGATGGCGTGGCGGCCCACATTCGCTCTGTGTATCCTTGACGACCCTGAAAACAATGACATCCTGCTCATTGTTGTTCCTGTATGAATGGCCATGTCACATGCGTTTTCGGTTGTGTAGTGTGGACGTAGATCGTTTCTGAAACGCAGTGAAAACGCCAGTGTAGACGAGGATCGTTTTCTATTTAAAACGCCGTTTTAAAGCGAAAACGCACTAGTGTAAATGTAGCCTATATTATTCAAAATTAGTTCTATATAAAAACATTATAGAAGTCCATAGACTATCTTCATTTAGATATTTGGATAGCTGCTGTAAGTAAACGTGTGTTGTAACTAGGGCTGCACGATAAATCGCATGCGATTTGCGCAGCTCGTCAGTCAACAACGGCTCTGTGTAGTTAATGCTGCTCAATGTGAAAGCACGCAGGTGACGGAGATTTACCGCTGATTACAGAACCGGATTTCTGACAAGATGCGCGTTAAATATCGCATGCGATTTATCGTGCAGCCCTAGTTGTAACTGTATCAGTTACAAACAGTTTATAGTGTTATACAAATATATAGAGATTTTAGGTCATATACAGATACTGTATACATATTTCGCGTTTTCGGTTGTGTAGTGTGGACGTAGATCGTTTCTGAAACGCAGTGAAAACGCCAGTGTAGACGAGGATCGTTTTCTATTTAAAACGCCGTTTTAAAGCGAAAACGCACTAGTGTAAATGTAGCCTATATTATTCAAAATTAGTTCTATATAAAAACATTATAGAAGTCCATAGACTATCTTCATTTAGATATTTGGATAGCTGCTGTAAGTAAACGTGTGTTGTAACTAGGGCTGCATGATAAATCGCATGCGATATTTAACGCGCATCTTATCAGTAAAGCCGGTTCTGTAATCAGCGGTAAATCTCCATCACCTGCGTGCTTTCACATTGAGCAGCATTAACTACACAGAGCCGTTGTTCACTGAGGAGCTGCGCAAAACCACGTTCATATGTTGTAGTCCAAACGAGTCATTCGTTGTAGTTTTTGAAAAGTGATATCTGTTAAATAAAATATCTCCTTTTGAAGTGGACTTTGAGCTTTGTAACTTTGCAGATTTTTTTATGCTCAAACAGCAACATTACAGACTAACTAAAGTTGAAAAAGTGAAAAAGAATAATAGGACCCCTTTAAAATGTCCTCATCATCAATAAAAACAGCTCAATCACAAACCGTAAGCAAATGATGTAAATAATGCTTTGGTTTTATTTTGATTATTTTGTCACAACAATCAAAACATGCAATGGCGAGGGGGTATTGATACGGTTTCCTATGCAATGACGTTAGCCAATCAACAGTGGCCAAATACTAAGAAGCCTTAAAGGACCCGCCCCTAAAAAAACAGCCTGTTTCTGAGAGAGGTTCAGAATGAGGGTTGAAAATAATAATTTCCCCACAGATTTATTTATTTATTGTGCAAAAAAACGTTATTAACATTATAAGTAAAAGTAAAAAATTATATATATATATCCTCATGACCCCTTTAAAAATGAATGAACAGAATTTTTTTTGACAGGATTGTTCTATGGCCCGCTATCAAAAAGTGCATATTTGCATAGATGAGCTAGTTATGATGAATCAACAAAGGCTTATCTCATGAATATGAATTAGGTTGTGCACAAATTTTTGCAAAAGTTTTGATGAATTTTAGGGCTGCACGATAAATCGCATGCGATGTTTAACGCGCATCTTATCAGTAAAGCTGGTTCTGTAATCAGCTGTAAATCTCTATCACGTGCGGGCTTTCACATTGAGCAGCATTAACTACACAGAGCCGTTGTTCACTGAGGAGCTGCGCAAAACCACGTTCATATTCGCGCGATTTTTTGCGCAGCTCGTCAGTGAACAACGGCTCTGTGTAGTTAATGCTGCTCAATGTGAAAGCACGCAGGTGATGGAGATTTACCGCTGATTACAGAACCGGATTTCTGACAAGATGCGCGTTAAATATCGCATGCGATTTATCGTGCAGCCCTGTAAGTAACTGTATCAGTTACAAACAGTTTATAGTGTTATACAAATATATAGAGATTTTAGGTCATATACAGATACTGTATACATATTTCCTCCTGTATGTTTGAGCAGTTGAGTGTGTGTGTGTGTGTGTGTGTTCATACCTAGTTGGACAGGTGCACTGGGTGACAAAAAAGCACTGTCGATGCTATTCTTCTTAGTGACAGTAGCACAGCTGCTTGTGTCCTGTTTCCTCTGTTCTGTCTGTTTCTGTTAGCACACACACACACAGTACAGGTTTTACCACCGAACACTCTTATGTTTGTCGTCGAGAAACACGAGTGCACATGATCACATAGACGTTCTTGTGCACGTACACAACGGTCACCATGAAAACTTGGCATTTGGTTAGCCATAGGCAAGAAACATCACAAAATGAGATCTCAGCTGTTTCACAGAGACAGCAATGAGATGAAATGGAGATAAAATGGAAGTTATTTCTCAAGGGCAATAATAAGCAAAATTCTTTAATGTATCTCCATTTCTTCTTATAAGGACAGTTTACCCAAAACAAAAACAAAAAAAACCTGTATGACTTTGTTTTTTCAGTGGAACACAAAATAAAGGTATTCTGATAAATGCTTATAACTAAACAGTTTCCGTTCCACTTGAATTCCATTGTATTTTTGTCCATACAATGAAACTGAGTGGAAACTGAAACTGTCTTATCTTTTTAAAATAACTTTTATGTTCCACAGAAGTCATACAAGTTTGGAACAACATGAAGGTAAGTAAATGATGGCTGAATTTTTGGGTCTATAGTCTCCTGCTTTCTGGAAGAAATTGACCTCAGTGTCTCAGAATGTGCTCTCATTTGCCATGTAATCTCATCATTTTTTCCTTTACGATATATCGCTATAAAAGTGGAAATCATCATTTTACTTTAGACTTTTTTTTTCTCCGAAATACTAGGATTCATCTCTTTCCTGTGTCACTTTGTTCACCTTTCTCTCATCCTCCTGGTCTATCATTGTCTCAAATCGAAATGGCTTTGGAATCTATGACTTTCAACTTCAATATCATATATCCATCAAATGGATTAATAGAGCTTCTGTTTGTTGAATATGCTCAGTCTGTTCTTTCTTTTAAAACCTTCTTTCTTTGTTCTGCAGGTCACACGGGTGCCGATCGAGTCCTGTGAGCAGTACGGCACGTGTGGAGAGTGTCTGAGCTCAGGAGATCCACACTGTGGCTGGTGTGTGCTGCATAACATGTAAGTTCCTTCTTTATATTTACACACACAGTTACTACTTGATATCAAATGATTTTTATGTATTTGAAGAACACAATCTCCAAAACTGTAATCATGTAGTGAAAAGTCTAGGAATGATCAAAGCGAAGAGCCCAGTGGTGCTTGGTTGGCACAGAGGTTGTTTGCCCTCTGGTGGTGGACTAGTGCAACTGCATCCAGATGTTTAAATCTCACTGAATGCTGAATCCTCAGATGCTTGTATGCTTTAAAATATTGAATTTAACGTTTCCAGAACAACAGGCAACCGACATTACTGCGTTCGTCATCTTTTAGTGGTTTTGTGCCGTTGTCTTCTCTCTTGTGTCCTGACTCAGTAGGGGCGTGTAAACCTTCCACTGCCATCATTACAGTAATGGCAGGGGTACCTCCCTTGGAAAAGTGCACTTAAAGTAATTTAGATGACTCCCGACAGGACAGGGACAAATAATTGGCGAAGCAAGCGGTATTTGTGCATCTCTGTTCAGCATGGGGCTGGGTTTTTTTTTCGTCAGCGTGCCGTTGGCGCAGCAGGATTACATTCCTCCATCAATCCTCTGGGGCATTCTGCTGTATTAAAGCTCATGTAATACAGACGCCATTCAAATCTCAAACATGCCATGCTGTGTTGTGCAGACAAGCTTATGTATTTATTAATTCACTAGCAAAAAGAACCGAAAGTGCCATGCTACTACCTTTTTTAACATGTGACATGGTATTCTTTGAAATTCATTATTTTATCATTTATATATATATATATATATATATATGCTAAAGTTGTTTTTAGCTGCACATTTTTTTGGAGGAACATATACGGTTAATATGGTTCATGGTATATCAATATGGTAATCATTCAATACCATGCTATATATCAGATTCTCTCATTTTCTCTTTCCCTTCATGTGTGCTTGTATTCCTCCTTCCCCATGGCGAGTGCTTTTTCACTGTCAGTGTTCTCTTAATGAAATTAACATCTCTCACTGGCTCTAATTCCAGCTCCACACTCTTATTTGCTCATTTCTCACTGCTCACAGCCCCTATGGAGTCCGTCCTTCCTCATCTGATAGAGCGACAGACAGTGAGATAGAGAGAGAGAGAGAGAGAGAGAGAGAGAGATTGCTGACACCTAATACAATGGTTTCATTAGTCTTTTAGCCTCTCCTTCACGGCACTGTTTTTCTCCTCTTTTGCATATACTATATAATAAAGGTTTTCAAATGTTTCTTTGCAGCACGTTCATCATAGGACACCTTTTAAATCAAGAAGCATTTTTTTTTTCTTTTTTTGTGGGATTCTTGAGGTATTATATGAGATTAGAAAGGAATCTTGATCATACATTTAAGGTTCTTCAGATCAACACATGGTTTTTCTGGGATCATTAAAACACCAAAGCAAGTGGTTTAAGGAAAAAATTAATCCTTAAAACGTCTTTAAAACAACATCAATTTTACACCAGGCTAATATCGCAGACTTTTGTGAATATTTCACAATCTATAATAAGTCATATTTTGAAAGAAGCACTGCATTTATTTGATTAAAATACATTTGGTGAAGTTATATTTACAAGTTCCAAATTTGTAAGAAACATTATTGCTAGATTTGAAGTTTTCAGTACTGAAAGATGTTCCAGTCTCATTTGAGTCATTAGATGTTTACAATACCATTCAAAAGTTTGGTGTCAGTAAGATTTTTGAAAGAAGTCTCTTATATGCTCACCAAAGCTGCATTTATTTGAGTAAAAACCTGTAATAGTGTGAAATATTATTACAATTTAAAATAATTGCATTCTGGTTAAATATGTTTTCAAATGTAATTTATTCGTGTGGTGGCAAAGCTGAATTTCCAGCATCATTACTCCAGTCTTAGTGTCACAGGATCCCTCAGAAATCATTTTAATATGCTCATTTGCTGCTTAATAAACATTGCTTATTATTATGAAAACAATTGTACTGCTTAATATGTTTGTGGAAACCGTGATGCATTTTTTAGGATTCTTTGATAAAAAGTTAAAAAGAACAGCAATTAATCGATTTAATGTGGCCTTGCTGAATAAATATATTAATTTCTTTTTTTTTTTAAAGACCCCGAACTTTTGAATGGTAGTGTATTTATTTATTGTTTTAAGATTTTGTTTTGTTTTTTTACGCTGGAGACTTTTTTGTAGAGCAACATTATTCTGCTCTTAGTGTGCGAAACATCTCTCTCTTTATTCTTACCTCAGTTAAGAATAGTGTGATTTGCCAAAGTTCCTATAATTACCAGCAGCTGTTGCACACCATGTGATTGAAAGGAGATAAAATGAGTGAGAAGAGACAATGCGGGATAGTGTTTGAGCATATAAGGCATCACTAAAGCTGCTGGTGTTTAGGCTATGAAGGCAAACAGCATCTGTATCTGTCTCTCTGGCATAAGACCCAGAGACATCTCTCATTGGCTAGTTAGACGGGACCCTGAAACTGGGAGGAGACAGAAAAAGGAGGAGTGAGGAGAGAGAACATAAAGTTTGCTGTCAGATTTAGGAGGACTAATCTCCTTGGCCCGTGGAGAACACTAATCCTGGAGATGATCTGATTGGCTGAACTCCTTTGAGGTCACAGGCTGTTTTAATATCAGCGATCCAGCAGTTGCTCAGCGGAGATCATTCTAACAGATCCTAATCGCTTTTAGGATTTAGCTCATTAAAGAGAGAAAGAGGGAGGTGGGGATCTTAGCGCTGATCAGTGTTTAAGGACATTATGTGAGCGTATTTAACATTATGCAATACATAAGTGTTTGGAAAGTGTGTGTGTGTGTGTGTGTGTGTGTGTGTGTAAGCTCTCGGCTTGGTTCTTGTTTGTATGGCTGTGGCGGCCGTTCCAGAAGGGAGACGATCTTCACAGCGGGGTTCAGCATTTGATCCGTGCTGTGAGGAAACGTTCACTCACTCTCTCTCTCTCATGTACCCACACGGACATTCTTGATATGCTGAACTAGCATATCTGCATTCAATGCCCAGAGTACAATATGTGAGATGTTGTGTCCCATAATGCAGTGCACTTGACTTGACCTTCCATGTGAAAAATGAACCAGAAAAAAGTATCAGCTGCAATTTATTGGGAATTATAATATTTTGATTTTCAGGCCTGAAAAGGTCATGGAAATAATAATTTAAAAAAAAAAAAGTTTTAGTTTTAATATTGAATTGGATGGAAATTCAACTTCTGAAATAATTTATTAAATAATTTATAATTAATGTATACATTCATTTTTTAAAATAATTTCTTAATTTGTTTAATTTAATTTATAATGTATTAATGCATACGTTTTTTTATTTATTATTATTAATTTAATTAATAATAAAATGTATACATCATTTTTTTAAATAATGTGTTGATTAGACTTGTTTAATTTAATAAATAGTATTTTTATGTATTGTTTAATATTGTTATTATTTTATTATTTATTAAACGGGTTGATGTCATGTGATAACAATGTAGCTTACTACTGTATGTTTATCATGCAGCATTTATCATTGCATATTGAGGTTTTTTTTCACATATTAAATATTGTATTATGCAGAATGCAGTACTTGTAAACCATTCCAAATATATAGCCATAGATTTTGCACAAGATAGGTGGCAACAACCTCAGGTATCCCTGAACATCATGGCTTTTGTTATCTTGAGTTACTTTTCTTACTATCATCAAAACTGTATGAAGTAGCATGCTGAAGGATCATGATCTCATTTCACAATGCAGTGACCTTACGTGTCCCACATTTAGACTGATATAGAGAAGTATAGACAACACATTTAATAAATTACTTGGCAATCATCAATAACACAACTCATCACATTACAACAACACCGGATCAGTTAAATGTCATTGATATCTGCACATGTTCAGAAGGATGGCGTGCACTGCTGTGTAGTCGCTTAAACACTCATCATTATGGTTATAACAATCATACGCTGCTCATGGCTGCACGTTTACTCCTTGGTCTCCGTATTGAACTTAAATGGTGCTGGTCTGTGTTCAGGTTATATGGGATTGGTGCTCAGCTAAATTAATTCCTAATTACATATTGATCTGGAGTAATGGAAGCAGATTCACCCTCACAGGCTGTTTATGAGTGAATTACTTCACCTGTTGGACAAATACTGGGGCAGTACAGAGATGAGTGATTGATTTACAAATGGTTTTGGGTTTTGGACTCTTCTTATCTTATCTCGTCTCTCTAGTTGTCTCACCTCAAATCTTGTCCTGTCTGCTCTCCTCTCCTCATCTCAACTTCTCTCTTTTTGTCTCATTTCGACCCTTCCCTTTTCATCTTATCTCGTCTTTTCTCTTCTCTTTTCATCTCATCTCAACTTTTCTCTTCGCTTTTTATCTCATTATATCATCTCATCATGACCCTTCTGTTCTCTTCTCCATCTCATCTGAACCCTCCCAGGGAGGAGTTCACAACACTCCCACTTTCTTCTCAGATTCATCTGTAAAACGTCCCGTCTTCTCCTCCCTCAGAGCTTTGCTTAATCAGGTGTCTCACCACACACCTTGCATTATGTTTTGGCGACACTGGTAAGAAAGCAGGAAAGAAACAAGGGAAAATCTTTTCCTGTCGTCTGTCTCTTCTCGTCAGGGTTGAGTGTGTATGTTGAGTGTGTAAGGAGGAGAAAAGATGCTGTAATTGCCTGGCTGGTGCACAGGGGTAAAAGCAGATGGTAGAGAAGAACCCAAAGGTTAACCCACCACTACCACTACCCTCCTATTTCTCTCTCTCTCACACACACACACACACATGCACACTGAAAACAGGTCATTCATAAATCTTAAAGCTTGTCAAACACACAACCTTTAACATATTACTACCACATTTAAATATCAACACTTATTCATAATTAACAGCAGTATGTCAATAGCTTTCAGTTTTCAGTATGTCACTGCAAAGAGTTTAGTCAATCATAACAGCTCATTTGCATATTAAAGGTTGGCCTGCAGTTGCTAAAACAACCTGTTTAATTCTAAGGAGGCGAAAAATGTCAAACTAAAACACCAACTTTTGGTGCAAGAAACCTTGAAGAGAATATGAATCATATTGTACAGTATGTGTGTGCTTGTGTGTTCAGGCATTTTCTTTGATGTGTATATGTATGCAGCTCTCTAAGCATTTCATTCAGCTCTTTAGAGGACCAGGGCTGTCGAGAGGCAGAATAAACCCCTCTGGAGACACAATGATGTGTACAGGGAACACACACACTTCATTTAATGAAAGAGAGAGAAGAGGTTGCCCACTAAGTGCACACACTTACATGTACACACATATTATAATGGCCGTCTCCTGGTGCCATGGCAATGCAGCATCCCGAGTACACCCACTTCCTCCTCCAAAATCAAACCTGGTGCCTGGATTTGGTGGTTCGGAGAGATGCACACACTCGTGCAGACAAACCCACACCCACGTTTTCAGACAGTGAAGTATGCACAAGCTGTCCCGGACATCTGAAAGCACATTAAGTGTAACCCCCCCCCGCCTACACGCTCTTTGTCAGAGATAGAGGAGCAAAGAGAGAGGGAGGCTGAGTCAAAACCAAGTGACAGGTTGAATGAGTGTGGTGTGAAAAGTAAAAATAACAACCCTCAGATTTGCCGAAGAACAGTGAGATTTATAACTGTAGGATGAATCAACCATAGTAGTTTCTGTTAGTCTATGTGTAAATGCAACAAAAAAAAGGTAATTTAGCATCAAAAAAAGGCATTTTCCTGTCCGTCAGTGCTTTCCACTAAGTCAAAACACTTTGAGAGAAATAAGAGGACATATTCTGGAATTATACACGTCTAAGGCATGAACATTGTTGGGTTGTGACATTAATGACAGCTTTAGTCATGTGATGTCTGATCAGCTGGTCTGGAATTAGAAGTTACTGATTGCTCTGTTTAGGGAGAGTGATGGTATGAAAGTGTTCAGCACCAAGGACAGCAGCTACAGTCAGCAGTGACGCTCATGTAGCTTCTGTGAAAATGAATCACACTTAAAAGTAAAAGAGATACACTTGTGATCAATAAATTAAATTTTAAAATATATTAAAATAGAAAACAGTTATTTTAAATTGTAAAAATGTTTCATAATATTACAGTTTTTACAGTTACAGATCTTTTATTCACCATTGTGTCAAAAATCCATGTTTTTCTTTCCTCCAAAGAAAAATAGTGACATTGGAGAAGAGTCCAGAGTGCTCTTTTTCATAATGAGGACTGTTGAACTGCAAAAATATGAAATCTTACCCTCTTTTATAGTTCTGAAATCTCTTTTGTTCTTATTTAGTGTGCCAGATTTAACTTCATGGTATCAAACATCATTGGTGTGTCTTGTCATAGACATCAAATCTAGCATGGCACGTTTTAATGCAACATTCGTGAATTGAGTGAGATCTGAAAACTCTGGCAGAGAATACTTTCAACAAATAATGATTTAAATTAAATTAAGTTTTGCTTCAGTTTTGCTTTTTTTTACTAGGCTTCAGAAAGCTTGGAATTGAGTCCACAGGCTCCTTTTTTTATCAGTTTTATAGTCTCTTTCCTCATTTTTGGAGTTATTATTATGCTGTATATATTTTTGTATGTGTTATGTAATTGTACAGCACTTTGCATCAACCTGTTGTTTTTTAATGTGTTTTAGAAATAACCGTTATTTTGATTTGACATGAGGGTGGATAAATGATGAAAGAATATCTAGTGAATATTCCACATAAATTCATTTTATTATTGTTTATTGGTTCGTTATGCATTCATTAACTTGATATGTGCTGAGAGAAGGGTTATCTTCTACTGATTCCCAGGGAACACATATACTAATAAATATATTTGCTTTGAATGGTCTGTAATTTGGCAGTGTCTGCCAAATTAATAAGCATCAATCTTTGTGGTTGTCCCAATATTTTCACAACTAACTACTATGCACTCCCTCTCTCTTCTAGATGTTCTCAAAGGGATCGTTGCGAGCGTGCAAATGAGCCGTACCGTTTCGCCGCCACGCTGAACCAGTGTGTGAAAGCCACAGTGTACCCAGACAGCATCGCCGTGTCTGAACCCAGCGTTCCGGTGAGACACCTCGCATACCATTTATAACCTTGACTCACAAGAACACAAACACCTTAACAACCTCGAGGTGATGTTGACTAAATACAGGAGCACGAATTCCTTCTAGCAAAAAAATTAGCATGAATTAGTTTTCAGTGCGATGTCTAGATAAACAGTTTTGGGTTTGGAAAGCGTGCACTGTGTGGGAGGGCTTGAAGCGCGAGAGATCTAGAAAGAGAGACCTTTGGGAATGGTATTTGTGTGGGTGAGATGTCAACTAAGCGTGTGGGCCAGAGTAGGAGTTGCGTTCAAGAAGACAGAGACATTGATTCAGGGCTAAGACTCTTGTTTTGGGCATTATTTTTAGCAAACCAATTTTTAACCAAGCAAAAAAAGTACTATCTCTGGCATACCAGGAAGTATGAAGGTATTCACCTTGGTTAAACTTCCCCAGGAAGTCAAGAAAAAATTGTGATGTCCAGATAATTGAAAGAGTCTCTGTATCACAGCTACCTAATTAAGATAATGAGGCATCCGGCTCTAAATTAGATGTTTCTGTCATGCCGTAGCGCTCGACAACATGACATCCATGACAAACCATCACCATGACAACAAAACCCATCTGCATGGGCGCCGGAGGAGCATGAAGAGCAGCAAAAACAATCAAATTACCTTTATTAGAAATGCTAGCAACAATTAACCCTCCCTGCACATTGCGAAGAGAAATGAAAAAAAAAAAGCTAACACGCAATGAAAGGAGCAAAGGCTAAACATAGACACCAATCACGCCTCGTCAATGTTGTTATGGTCAGACAATGCTTTATAGACCGCGCTAACCGCAAACAATGCCTTGTCTTGATGTTTGAGTACAGCCTATGTATCTACAACGAATAACAAGTCGGCTAATTAGCAATTCTGTAGCTGTCGCTCTCAGTGCACTAGCCTAAAGAGTGCAGAAAGGAACATCCCTGTGGTTTTGAAGTAATTAGATGGTATATAGATGTTGGAAATTTCAAAAGAGAACTCAATGAGATGGGCTGAATGTACATAACCTAAGAAGATCCACATGATAGCTAGAACTTTTGAAAACGATGTGGTAAAAATAAAAAATTAACCAAGCAATCTTAACAAATGTCACAGTAATAATTGTCCTCTTCTTCAGTGGCGAGAAGACCAGCCTGCATGTGAAATGTGTGTATTTATAGCCTGTGCGCTCCGTCCTGTGTGTCACCGGTCCCCCAGAGAATGACTTCCGAGGGCCATGTGTGCTTTGAGAAGATGTGCAAGAGCATTCGTGTGAAATGCAGGAGATGTAGTCCAAAGCTATAGAAAGAACGGATGGAATGTCAAATGCCCTCTTTGAGCAGGAGTCTTTATAAGGTTAAGTCTATAATGATGGCTGGAGTTTATGCTGTTGTTATGCGGTGAGACCATCTGCTGCGTGCTGCCGAATGAACTTTGCCCATGTGAGAAGACTGAGGTTATTTGATCAGTAATAAATAGCTTCTTTCAGAGCCATAGCTTGGTGAATAGCACTCATGGTTCAGACATGAGACGGTGGTACTCATCCTACCCACTCTCTATAATTTTATATATATAATTTCTTCTATATATAAAAGTGACGTGATATGTGATATGTAGTAATATACATTACTACATAAATTATTACAATTGTAATTATGATTATTATTATTATATAAATAAAAATATATAATTTAATAAAAATAAAAAATGTAAATTTCTATATCTAGATGCATTACAATAAAGGCTCTCAATAGTATAAAGTAATTCTGACTATTTTATTTAATTATGAAAACTCCAGTTCTAATCTGATTTCTTTCCTCGGTCTAGCTGCTGGTGAAAGTGACAGATGTTCCGGATCTTTCTGCTGGAATCACATGCTCCTTCGGGAACCTGACGGAGGTTGAGGGCAGAGTAGATGGGAATCAAATTCTCTGCACTTCTCCTGCTGCTAAAGATGTTCCCATCATCCCCACAGATCAAGGTATTTATTCATACTAGACTATTCAAACTAAAACTGATGCACTATTTTATAGATTTAATTCTGATATCTCCTGCTCTCCATGTACTCAACTTTCCCTATCAATTGGCATCTCTTTTGTTTTTTCTTTATCCATCCGTCTACCTGTTCCCCTCAGGGAGGTGATCTCTATTCTCTTGTATAGATGCTCTATTAATAGACCCTCCCTAGCGTACCCAGCAGCCTCGCTTTCTAATGAGGGCTTCATTCAGCGGTGCCGCCTGCACTCACACTCAAGCCACACCATCGATCCCACCAGCCACGTACAACTGTGGCTCTAATGAGCCTACACCGACCCCAGGTCGGCCCCAGGGCTACAGGCGTGCTCTCAGACACACTTAAGCCCATTACAGGTGACGAGCCCTCTGCCCTCTCCCTACCCATAATAGCTCAAGGGAGAGAGTTCTTCCCGAACGCTGATCAACAATCAGGTTTAGAGTCATCTGTGGTTATGAATATAATCAGGAATCGGTTCGCAGTGTGGAAAACCAAAAGTAGAGGATCCTGTTCCACAGAAACCCGCATGCTGTAACTGTATATGCATTCAGTTTGTTGGCAACGCTTATACAGCAAGATTACACTGATTTTTTTTAAAAGCTAACAATCGTCTATGGATAAATTTCTACATGTGCTTCCCGTCTAACCTCTGTTGGGAAGCAGATGGCCGCATATGCGGCAGAAGTTGGTTGTGATTATCTGAATCACAATAATCCCCTCCCAGCCCACAGTAAATGACAGCTCTGTTTACCCACAACCCCCATGCACTTGTTGGGGGGAACGTTATCCAATCAGTGGCTTCCCTCAGGTAAATGTCATCTAATCCCTCGGTGCCTCATATTTGCCGCTTCTCTCTTAGCTGAATCGGGCTCGATAGGATCACAGATGCATTTTAAATTACATTTTAAAATATATTAAAATAGATATTATATTTCACACTATTGCGCTTTTGCTGTTTGTTTGTTTGTTTGTTCAAATAAGTGCAGTCTTCCTGAGCATGAGACTTAAAAAAATATTACAAAATCTTATTGGCCCCAAACTTTTGTGTACATGTAATATTTATTTTGAATTGGCTAGTTTGTGCAAGTAAATTTATTTAAACTGGTTGTTAAAAGTTCAGATGGATTGTGTTATGTTCTGTAATTGCTGTTAATAAATCTGTCAGAAAAAAAAATATGCTAAAGTTTCGCCTTTAGGGGTACAACAGCCTGGAAGCCTTTTACAAAAAATAACCATGGTTTTATTACTGTAACCACTGTTTACCACAGTATTTTTAGTGAAACTGCAGTAACCACAAATTTGCCATGGTAATAACAATAATAATAATACATTTTAGTACTTATGTAACACCATGTTTATTTTTCATGAGGTACCCTAAAAGGTGGACCTTTGAAACTTATCTACCCTTAAAGCATGCATACTTGTATGGTACTAATATGCTCCCTTTTAGGGGTATAGTTGCACCTTTGAGGTTACTGCCCCAGTAAAGGGCTAAAATACAATTATAGTATATTTTATTTCTGACAGTGTAAACAAAAAAGGTCTATGAAATGTTAAAAAACATGGCTTTAAAATCTAATATTAAGTGAGTATAATTACTGAATATATTCTTTTAATAATTTAAAAGATCAGTTTAGTTTATAGGTATCGGTATCGATATAGATACTGGGCTTGAAAATATCGGTATCGGATCGAAAATAAAATAAGAGGTATCGCCCATCCCTAATAGGAACATATGAGCATCGATCATGTGTGGAAATACCCATTCATTGACTACGTTTATATGGACATCAGTAATCTAATTATTTACCTTATTCTAAATAAGCCAATATTATGATTATGGTGTTTACATGAGTTGCTTTTAGAATATTCCTTTCATGTTCCCGTTTTACATGTTATAGTACATAGTTCGATTAATGGCACACGTCATTACGTCCCCGCGTGACGCCATCCGACGTCCCCTCCGTAATTTCACGTGTAAACATATAGTTCCGTCTTCGTGATGATGCCATGTACAGGTAATAGTGTGATTAAGGTGTGTACATGTCTACACTGCACATCAATAATGCGACTAAAATAGGAATACTCCACATGTCTTAATTCAATTTCTGTTTACTTCGAATATGACTTTAGCCGGATTAAGGTCATCAAAAATCTCTGTTTACATGGTAGATTCTTAATCAGAGTATTGTCTTAATCGTGTTAAAATCGGATTATTGTTGTCCATGTAAACGTACTCATTGAGTGGTGGGTGTGGTCAATCCTATTCCTAGTTTATTTCCAATAGCTGCAAGGCACGAGACGGTTGGGCGTTTGGGAATTGCATGCCAGTTATTGTCCTTGGCATATGCTGCAAAAACATGTTTAAAAAGCCAGCTTTTACCTTTCAGTCCGTTCATCCCTGTTACGAGGAGCGGAAACAGGTGGGAAGGAGGCAAGAGAAGAGGAAGTGGTGCTTTCGGGTCACGGCTGACTCCCACACATTGTATGCTAGCTGAATCGCTGCCTGTTTGGGATGGAGCTCGTGCTTATTTGAGTTTGAAGAGCTGGCTGCTTATCGAGCGCAAGCGTTTGGTCTGAACGCCGATCGGCATTCTCCACGCAGCCACCCTGCCAAACGGGATTGGCCTGGCTGGTGTTCTGCGGCGCTGCCAGCCGCTCCGCCGCCATTACATCGATGCTGCCGCCCGCGGGCCTGTTTCACATTAACAGCAGGGCTCAGCTGTGTTTTGTGTGACAATAGCATGTCTCAACACAAAAAAAAAAGCCAAATATGCTCATATTGGTTTGGATGCCACGCACTGCAGAGCTGCTCGAGGCTCCACTTGACTGTAAGAATACGATGCGAGGAATGCCAAGTATTAATCAGAAGACAGCTTGAGCATGAAGCAAGCTGAAAAAAGGGTGGCAAACCAAACACAGCAGAATGCGATGTGGCAGAAATGTTCTCAACTCTTACTCTCTTGCTCTCTTTTCAGACTGGTCCGCGTTGCTGTGATATTTGTCTTTATGATGTATTCGTCCCACATACGCAGCCCTGCTGATATTTCTCTCACTTCCTGTATCATAGAGTATCAGCGTTGTGTCACAGCGCTCAACCAGCTCACTCCACACGCTGTGATTGTTTCAAAAGTGTTATGCAATACAGAAAAACTGTGAATGTTTCGGGCCCACGGGCGTTTTGATGATATTCAAAGAGCTTATCAAGGCTGAGTCTGGCGCCGCACCAGATTCTCGCAGTGAGTTTGAACTCTCCAAATCATATTTTGCAGGACACCAGTGTCACATCCCTCCCAGGCTGCACTTTTCCGTAACTGGCGAAAGCCTCATACAGTTCTGCTGGTGTACAGACACCAGCAGAAAAGGAAAGTTGTTTCAGAGGAAGAGCAAGTTGTTTTTATTCAAAGTTATAATTAAGATTAATATGAATTTTTATTAAAGATTTTCAAGATAAACAATTATTTTCTTGGAATAGCATTCACAAGTGAATCTGTCACACAAAAAGTCCAGGAATGTGTCTTTAGAAAATAAACTGGCTTTGGTTAAATTGCTTGACACTACATAGGGTTGTTTTTGATTGCATAACTCGTTACGACTCAATCTGAATTCTTTTTCTGATACATCATGAGATATACGATGTGTCATACCATCTACCCAGGGGCGCGTTGCTGTGATATTTGTCTTTATGATGTAGGCTATTCATCCCACATACGCAACCCTGCTGATATTTCTCTCACTTCCTGTGTCGTAGAGTGTCAGCGTTGTGTCACAGCACTCAGCCAGCTCACTCCGCACGCTGTGAATGTTTCAAAAGTGTTACGCAGCACGGAAAAACTGAATGTTTCGGGCCCACAGGCGTTTGATAATATTCAAAGAGTTTATCAAGGCTGCGTCTGGCAGCGCACCAGATTCTCACAGCGAGTTTGAACTCTCCAAATCGTTTTTTGCAGGACGCCAGTGTCACGTCCCTCCCAGGCTGCACTTTTCCGTAACTGGCGAAAGCCTCATGGCTATAAAAAGAATCCATTATGGCAAATGCTAGCTGATTGCTTAACATTTCTCAAGTGTGTCGAGGCTGAGATGTCTGAATTGCTGAATCTAAGAGTGCTGTGGGTTTGGCACTCCGGCTGGAGGCATCGCTGTCTGTCACAGTTCAATTCCACTTCATCTGCTGTGATGGCTGATCAGAGAGGAGCGAGTTCGACTGCATCTCAACTCTCCAGGAGGCCCACTGATAAACAACCGCTTGTGTCTGAGCGAGCTTTGTGTCTTTGTTCACTCCGCGCCTCCAAACTCCCCTCTTGTGCGTGTTTATGTGTGCTTTAGCGTATATTCCTAGCCTCTCGTGTGCGTTTGTAACCACCTTTCATATGCGTGCCTTCTGCGGAGAACAGATGCTGCTCGATGCAGGAGATCACAGAGCCCCCCCAGTAGCTGGAAGCTTTCTAAAACGCTCAGGAAGAGGTAGCTTCCAAGGGCGCTGATTGGTTGGCGCCAAAAAACTCGCTCCCCTCCCCATTCCCGACACTTCCTCGCTCTATCACGGCAGTGTCACCCGAGCATCTGATAGATCTGGAACTAATCAAACAAACCCTCTGTATCCAGTCCCTCTGAACACGCACCCCTTGCGTGTGGAAGACCTCACACCGAGCTCTGTTGGCCCTCTGTGCCAGTGCCACAGGGGATTATGGGTAATCTGAGGCAGAATGGCCCCTCCTTGTGTGTTCAACCTGGCTCAGTTTCTGGCACATTTAGCCTTACCAAATTTCCTCCCACTCTCCCTTTCTCTTCAAAAGTTGTGAAATGCTCTAATTTATCTTGAGTTCCCAACAGAGTGATTAAGTACACCGTGGTATATCGGTTTTTAGCTCGCGATTGCTGTATGAATCTCACCACCCAATCCGGTTGGCCCATCTGAACACAGTGGCCCAATGGCAAGCCGGCTCTGATGAATATTTTAGCATAAATCCTTCTGCATAATTTAACCATCAAGCAGAAAACACAAACTCTTGGACGCCAAAGAGCTGTAGAGGTTTATAGCTCTAGAAGCATCTCCAAGATTCCTCAACATCAAATATATGACATGGTCCTCTACAAATAGAGCAAAGCCTGCTCGCCCTAGCATGGCTTTGCTTCTGAATTGGAGGGACTGATGTAAGTGTTTATTGGAACGTGTTGGTATTATGGATTCTGGACGTGCTCTTTCTTGTAAGCTGTGCTCATCTGCATATAAATGATGAATAGAGAGCTTACCGCTGCAGGCACGCACACTGAGACATGCAAACACACATGCTCGTAATGTATGGCTGTATTCTCTCATTGTTTGCCTACTGCATACTGGAATACTGATTATACAACTAAATAGAGATGGCGCACAGGAAGTGAAGCGATACAAGATCACAACCCTGGTTTATGTCAATTTTGGCCTTAAATGAAACACTTAACCTCACGTTGTTCCCGTGAGACGGTGCTCGCAATTAACATACCGTGAATGGCTGAATAACAACCAAAAATAGCTGTGCATTCAAACACTTCACTATATCTGTAAATTAAATAACATTCCATTTCCCTTAAGTGGATTGCGAACTCCTTTACACGATTGTGTAAATATCATGTTATGATCCATGTTTAATTGAAAATTAAGTTTCAGAATATTTTATACTGCCTTGGCTAGATTGTTGTTGTTGTTCAGATGTTGAAATCAGAGTCATAAGTTCTGTATTGGTCCTAATGCAAAATGTTTTGGTGCATAAAATGTTTCAAAATATTTTGTACTTATATGTACTGTATATAAATCTTCAACAATTTTCATATTGTGATATTCAACATTTTCCAATATTCAGAATAATATAAAATAGCATTATACTTGCAGGATATAAATATTATAAATAATATATAATACATTTTATTTTATTTATTTTGAGAATGCAAACCATTTTCTTTTTGGGCTACAGTTAACACAAGTATTATCAAAGGCAAAACTAGTTACTTTGGTTAGCAGCATTGGACTTGATGTAAACAGGCTCTCTTCTAAATGTCCATTTAACTTATAGACTAGACTTTTCTTTCTAGAAGGACTATAAAACACAATTACTCTCACTAACTATTAGAATACTTAGTATTATAATTATTGCAATTAGAGTTAGATTGCGTCTCATTTTCTTTAAGATCATTCCATATTCACTCAGGCAGTCCACTGTCTCACTCACAGACAATGTAGTCCTAATGCAAATCATATATCACGGCACGACTATATGTCTTAATAAAGTCTGTATGTCTCAATACCAGTGATAATAGTACGTCTGAGTTCTAACCTTTGCAGAGCCGCAGTACATCTGTATGTGGGTTTCAGTGGCACAGCGCAGTGGGTTTCAGTGGCACATGCAAATTTTTACAGCACACTTTTAATTTATTCAGCATTAAGCCGCAAAGGTCAAGGACACAGCAGTGCTGGTCTCAAAGGCACAACCTGCTCCCCATTGCTAATCTAAAACCCAGAGCTACGTTTTATGCTGACTACTTTCACAGTACCCTCAAAAAAGGGCTTTGGATCATAAATCAGGGACATCATCTGAGTGGTAATAATACTTTATTCTCGCTCTTTCCATCTGTTTAGGTGTCTTTCCTGTGTGACCAGTTCTTTCCGCTGCCACTGGTGCAAGTACAGAAACCTCTGCACCCACGACCCCTCCAGCTGCTCTTTCCAGGAGGGACGCGTCAACGCCTCTGAGGTACACACACAAACACATACACAAACTGTGTGTTGAGGTTAGAGTCTCTCAGTAGCAAATCTACAGGATCACAAACCTCTGGGGAAGAGCTTCCAATAATAGCTGCTGAAAAAGTGTGTGTGAAGTCGACGGTCGCCTCGCTAGAGAGCATGCGTGTGTGCGTGCGTGTGTGTGTGCATTTGCAGGTGTTCAGCTGATCAATGTGCTACATTACACCCTGTCAGGTGGTAAACACACTTGCTCACCCTCTCACAGCGAGCAATTAGCAGTCGATATCCGGAATATTCTCCCTCGCAGCACACACAGACTTCCCACTTATTAACACACAGCCATATGCACAAAATAAATACACACTTACACAGGAAAAAACTCCTTACGGTGCACCATCAGTCATGGTGTGTGTGTGTGTGTGTGTGTGTACATGTGCATTTGCATTTTTGTGTGTGCAGGCTTGCATGTAAGTGTATGTTTGAGTACATATGCGTTTGTGTATGCCTTTGTGTGTGTGTGTGTTAACCTTATACTTTAGGGAGAAAATTGCTGTCCAAGAAATTAGCTAAATAGAACAAAAGGTTGTGTGGAAATCTTCAAGGGCAATAGTGGTTAATAAATAAAAGAAACATTTTAATTAAAAAACAATTTTCTGTAAAAGGAAGACAATTTTCCTATATATAAATAAAACATTTATTTATTTTATATTTATTTTAACAACTTCAAGTATATATAAATTAAACAACGTATTTGTTGTACAAATTAATTTATACTTTTAAGTGAAAGATGCAACATTTGTTTAATTAATGTTGCCTTCATAATTTATTTCTTCTTGTTAATAGCACTAATTTATTTTATTGTATTTTATTTTTTTTTAAATCTGACACTTTATACATTTAAGTAAAACAACTGTTTATTTGTTTGTTGCACAAATTAAGTTATAATTAAGTGAAAGATGCAACATTTGCTTAATTGATGCCTTCGTAATTTATTTATTTTGTTCTATAGTTTATCTGAAAGTGTATCTTTTTATTATTTTAATTTATTTTTCAACAGGACTGCATGCCTGCATTGCACTTGCCTATTTACATATAGTATGTAACTGTGTTTTTAGCTTCATTTTAAAGTGTGTGTGTATTTGTTTGTTGCACAAATTAAGTTATAATTAAGTGAAAGATGCAACATTTGCTTAATTGATGCCTTCGTAATTTATTTATTTTGTTCTATAGTTTATCTGAAAGTGTATCTTTTTATTATTTTAATTTATTTTTCAACAGGACTGCATGCCTGCATTGCACTTGCCTATTTACATATAGTATGTAACTGTGTTTTTAGCTTCATTTTAAAGTGTGTGTGTGTGTGTGTGTGTGTGTGTGTGTAACTAAGTGTGGTATTAGAGAAACACTAGGGACACCTCTCACAGGCTGACCTACTAGTGCACATCATCTCCACACACAGCTTTTAGAGAGTAACACTTCAACCTGCTTTTAAAGAGCACCTAAGGTTTCGCTGTGTGTGTGTGTGTGTGTGTGTGTGTGTGTATGTGATCATGGGGAAGCGTGTGTGGGAACTGAAGCTGAAGTGTGTTCATTTCTTGCACACACTTCAGTACACTGTATGTTTCTATAAGGCTCTTTCAATTCAGCTTTCATGTTCTCTGCTGAGTACACTTGAATGGTTTAGTATTCTATGTGTTTGCACGTGTTTGTCTTGACTATCTGTTCACCTCTCACTCCCTTCACTCCTTTAGGACTGTCCTCAACTGGTCCGCTCTGAGGAGATCCTGATCCCGGCGGGGGAGGTGAAGCCCATCACACTAAAAGCTCGGAACCTTCCACAACCTCAGTCGGGTCAGCGCGGCTACGAGTGTGTGTTACACATACAAGGAGTCAGTCATAGAGTTACGGCGCTCAGATTCAACAGCTCCAGCGTACAGTGCCAGAACAGCTCGGTATGTTTGGGTTTGCATGTGTACTCATGCGAAAGGTCATAATGAAATCTCATTTTATCTCAATTATTTCTCTTAGACATCAATTCGATTTTATTGAGAACAAACTGAGACCTATGCTTAAGTCTCATGTTTTTTTCTCATAAGAAAGACTCCTGAGTTTCATAAGAGATCTCAACAGTGTCTCAAACTGTGCTCAGATTTGCCAGGAAATGGGAACAAGTGTGCAATCGAAAGTTCAAGATTTTAATATGACCTCAAACATTTCTTATACAATTCTTCCCAGACCAAATCATCTGAGCTATACTTACTGGCTCAATGATGTGAGTTTCAGAAGACATCTCAAATTGAGCTCATATTTGCCAAGATATTAAGTCTCAATAAGAGCTGAAACATTTCTCATTGGATTCTTTCTAAACCTAAAAGATTTGAGCTACACTGTTTACATGTTTTTAAAACACAGTACTCTTAATGTACATCAACACTTGCCATTTGTTGGTCCTAAGGAAAAATTAAGTTGATACTTACAAAGTTGATACTTAAAGTGCATTAAATGTAAGATATTTTACTTTTCTACCGCCACTTTTCACTCTCTTTTTGTCATTATCTTTCAAATGAATATACACACACACACAATGTAAGTAGAGATGAAGGCGATTGGAGCTCAGTGTCCAAGCTGTGTGTTGAAAGTCTTCCTTATTGCTCAGACTGATGATGCAAGTCTGGAGTAACTCAATAAGAGCACTAATACAGTCAAACCACCTCTCTTTTGCTCTCTTTTTCTCTCTCGTGTTATTTGCTTGTGTACTCTGCTGTTTATTCGTTCACTTTTTGGCTGCATGTTGTAATCAATAATTGACAAAGGCAAAGACTAAATTTCATAAACTTTACATTATCTCAGCGTTTACACTGTCAGGAAAATGTTGTAACCTCTTTCCATCTCTTCGTCTCACTGCAGTATCTGTATGAAGGGATGAGGATCAGTGAGCTGCCGGTGGATTTCTCAGTGGTGTGGAATGGAAACTTCATCATTGACAATCCTGAGAACATCAAAGGTAACACATAAAGAAACCCATGAAAATAATGTGTTTATAAGCCAAAACTCTGGAACCTGTCTGATTCTCCCAGAATCATTCTGCCCTAAGTATAATTTGAGGTGGCTGATCGGATTGATTATTATTCGTTCCATGGTTTTATAGAAAAATGAAAGTCTGAAGCTACTTTTCTCATGCTTAGCAAAACCTCTTAAGCATCACAGTTGTGCTGAGCTTCATGATTTCATCAGCCTTGATACATCAATAGCTCAGATAGGTCAACCTAAGTCAAAAAACTTTATCAAAACTTGTAACTTTTTACACCAAACAAAAACCTTATTGCAGCATTCATTTAAAAACACTTTACTAATTTCTACTTGTATGCCACAGTGCACCTGTATAAGTGTGGCGCTCAGAGGGACAGCTGCGGCGTGTGTTTGAAGGCCGAGAGGAAGTTCCAGTGTGGTTGGTGCAGTATGGAGGGCCGCTGTACCCTACGCCAGCACTGTCCCATGTCCAACCCCTACACCAGCCGCTGGCTTCACCTCGCCAGCACAAACGTCAAGTGCACCAACCCTCGAATCACTGAGGTGGGTCCCATATACTATACAGGCCTCGCTCTGTTTTTCTGTAATACTTGATTTCATTTGGGACACATATGGCAGAAATATATCATATAGATAATGTACAGTCAGCTGTCCAATATTTGAATGTTGAATGCCACAATTGACCAATCAGAGTGAAGTGTTCCAGAGATCTCTAAAATTATATATACAGAAAATAAACTATTTTTAATATAATTAAAAAACAATTATTTATAATATATTTATATGTATGTTTCATATAAATGTATAAGAAAAGCAAAATTTTATTTTACATTATATATATTTTTCCTAACAGATATTCTCACGCAGACCTCTGTTTATGTTTTTCAAGTTTCATACACTGAATATTATATATATGACTGTATATATATCCATATATGTATACTACAGTTAAAAAGTTTGGGGTCAGTAGAATTTTTGTTTACTTTAATCAGCAAGAACGCATTAAATTGATCAAAAGTGGCAGTAAAGACATTTCGGTTTCAAATAAATGCTGTTTTTGGAATTTTCTATTCATCAAAGAATCCTGAAAAAAATGCAACACTGTTTCCTCTAAAGTATTTAGCAGCACAATAATAAAAATGTTTCTTGAGCACCAAATCAACATATTAGAATGATTTCTGAAGGATCATGCGACACTGAAGAGAAGACTGGAGTAAATGCTTTTCTGATGAAAGTATACAATACAAATATGTATTCTACATCATTCATAATTCAGACAAATGAACACACACACAGAGTTGTGTGGAGGAGTCTCCATCCTCACATATTTCTACTCTGTAGTCTGACTGAGCTCTTTATTGATTCTGCTATTCATAGACTCTCAGAGAAATGTGAGCTATGTATATCGCGAGTAATATCTCTCTCTCTGTCTCAGCTTCTCTGCCACTCTCATCGTCAGTCGTACTCACTTTAGCTGCCAATATCTCACGTTTTCTTGTAATTAACACAATGTTGAAATGTTGATGGCATACTGTGAGAGGTGTGTGTGTGTGTGTGTGTGTGTCTGCTGGGAGAATGAGGGAAGACATGATGTTTAATTAGTTTAGGTAACGCACCAGTGCTCTGTGTTTAAAGTACCTGATTCATGGAATTCATTGATTCATGTGGCTGTTTTCAGTCTGCATATCACAAGCTGTTGCCCCATGTGCACACCAACCAATTAAAAAGTAAAGGTTATGACTTCCTCCTGTCTGTTTTCATTCAGGATAAATGGGCAAATTAAGGTTATGAACAGCTTCTGTTGTTGACGGAGCATTATTGGTGTATTGGTGTGTGTGTGTGTGTGTGTGTGTATGCATTTATGTTTGTTGCACAATTTATGTTATACCTTTAGCTGAAAGGCTTTTATTTAATGACAACTTCATAATGTATTTATTTTTGTTAAATTGCGCTGTTTTTGTATTTTATCTTATTTTTGTATTTTGTTTTTATTTATTTTTTTATTATTTTTACTAAGGTTGTTTAACAGAGGCTCTGCCAAGCAGTTGTTTCCACGATTGTCTTTTGTTCTTAATTTAGTTATGTTATTTCCTGTGTGTTTTTGTCTGAATATAGACATTCGTAAGCTGATTTGTGCAAATACATAGACATTAGCGAGATCTGCCTACAAGAAAATGACAGTCATGAATGATTAACGCTTCTATTAAGCAGCACTCTATCCCTCCTCTAAAGAATCATTAATATTAATGAGGCTTAAGTCCTCAGTGAAAGCCGAGGGTTCAGCATCAAATGAATGTGGATGAACTTGAAGCTGGTCTTGACGTCACTCTTTGCTTCAGATGGTCTCTGAGCCTCTCCTTAGTAGCTCAGTCATGGAAAAGGTTGGTGTCAGTTCATGCTTCACAGAACTGATCTTGGATCAGCCATGAAAATCTTTTTGAACTTTGGACATTTAATGCAGTTTTATATCAGTATTGATGTTTTGGTTTTGAGTTGTTTTTGGGTAATTGATTATTACTGATTATTACTTTTTATAAATACGACACAAATTTAAAATACGTGTAATATAGCTTAATATTCAAAATCTAATATAGACTATTTATATATAGTTGGGATTTGGGGGGCAAGGATCTCCCGGTCAGCGAATGTCACGGGCCATGTAGAAATGCAGTTGCAACCATCCATGAATTTGTTTCAAAACATGGACCAAAGCCTCAGGAAATAATGTCCTAAATACACATACACACTGGTGCACACAGCTCGACACTGACAGGGAGAGAGACCATCCACGATGAAAATCATCATGAATAAATCATATTGAGCCTGATAGAACCTTCTCTCCCATCAGAGCTACAACGCTTGTCTAGTACAACACAGCCTTTCCACAAAGTCACATGTCTATTTACAGAAGAGCATTCAGCTCGACTCACTCAACCACAAACTCCAATTTTAAACCGGATGCACCACTTTCAAGTCCCTTATTCCTTGCTTTCTTTGCTTAAACACTCGCTTTCTTGGCTGAAGTTCAAACCAAGGCCCTCTTTTCTTTTCCCCTCCCTTTTCAGGCTTTATCGCAGCCAACCACGGGGACATTTAAGAGCAAATAAAGTGTTTAGTGTGCAGTTTATGCAGCAAGAAACAAGTCATAAGCTGAGTTTTATCAAGCCCATAAATTGCATCTCAGTGTGAATTTAGGACGTGCTTGAATCAGCTGAAAAGACTCCAATCCCAGGAACAAATCACACCTTTCGTCCTCCCGCTGCACACTTTCATTACAGCTTCCTAATTATACACAGCAATTGAGTGCGTGAAAACCCTCTGAGGACAGGAAATGCATCCCATTTAGACTTGAACATGCTGGTGTTAAGCATTCTGCATTACTTAATGAAAGAACCATTCCAAACCGTCTGCAGCGCACAATAACAGTTTTTACCTGCAAGAGAACATGATGCCCAGGTGCATGTTAGGTAAGGAGCATCCAGACTTCTGCTTTTTTTTGAAAAGCAAGCATTAAGAATGAAGAGACTTCCTGTTTGTCCCTGAGACACTCTTAAGACATGACACTGGCCCGTGGCTGGGATTGTGTCTGTGTGCATGTGTCCGTATAACTCAAAGCCAAACAACCCATGAGAACTCTGAAGATCTTCTCAAGAAGTCTACATTGTCATTCGGTGGCTGGAATCCAGACAGTCACTTTTGTAATGATGGTGAAATTGCAGACGTGCACAAATTGTAGCTCTGGAACCAGTAGCTGTGTGGTGGAGGAGGCCGACTTCTGGGTCAAACAAGGCAGCGCTTTCACCTCTGAGTGGGTGGACGAGACTTTGAAGTATTGAGTCAGTGCGAGAGATATTTATGCTCTATGAATAAAGCCCATTTGATGTCTGTAATGGCTAGTCAGAACAGCACCGCACTCGGGGTGAAGCTGGAATCTGACGCCCAGACTATTATCACATGAGCTGATGAGATTTAATCTACAGATGAAAGCACTGCCGCCAATGTACACTCCACCATCCTTTCATTATCAAGTCATTTATTTACTTGATTGTTTTATTATTTAGAGCATAAATAATAAGAGTATGTCTGTAAGGATATATATGTAATCTGTAAAGAAGATGTGAATATGTTTGGAGTTGAATAGTGGTACTGCTTTCTGTGGTTTACAGTATATACTGCATACTATTTTAAAAAATGAATACCATGAAGAATGCATAAATGTTTAAATACATAACCTCACAGTGTTTAATGTAGATGAAGTCCAGATTATACTTTTTTTTTAAGCTATACCGTTTTAATTTTTATATTATATTATATTATTATTTTAATAATAATATTATTTTTATTTTTATTATTTCATTTTTTTACATACATTATTTTATTTTATTTTTGCATTTCACAAGAAACACAAACTTGTTTGTCCAAATGTGCAGTATGCGACAAAAGTAATATAAAACCTTTTTTTCCCATGTATAATTATTTAAATATACTGCTGAAATCTATTACATAACAGTAGATTAAATATGCTAAATAAATGTTTTGTGCTCTATTTAACATGAAGTCATGTAATTGTAACATTTATGCTTTTTTAAAGTAGAATACAGTATATACATGCATAAATCATATCCACATTGTGTTCTGGTATCAGGTCTGTATTATTTCAGAAGTTTATTTAGTTTTCTGTAGTTAGTTTGTCTTAGATATAGTCAGTCTGATGCTGACTCGTACTGATATGAATATATATAGCATTCCATTCTTTCTCTTATTGTTCCAGTCTTGTCTAAGAAGCAATAAAAGATTCATAAACTTCCACCCTAAGGTTCACTAGTAGTGACACACTTACTTTACGTCCCAACCAATTAATGTCCCCTAAACTCTCACCGTCACACTCCTCCTGTTGAGCGACTGCAGGATCTAGTTCACTTCCTGCACCACACTGCTCTCAGATCAGTAAACAGGCACACTTAGAAGATGCTCTTGCTTTGATCATGTTGGTTTTTTCTTCCACATGACTGAAAACAAATGCTTTATTGATTGTGTATGGCTGAACTGTGCATGTGGCCTTCTGTCCGTCGCCCTGTCTCTCTCTCTCTCTCTCAGTGATATTTGGATCTGGAGAGGGTCCAGGGCTCAGCTTCTCTTGGGCTTTAACAGCACAGAAGGCTTTTTGGCACCCAGAGCCAAGGTCACGCTGAGTGCCCATATTGTATTTTATGAGAGTACATAAGGCTAGGGCTAAAATGGCCTTGTGATATATTTATTGCCTGTGGCAACAGCATGCAGATCTGCTGCAGTCTTGACTGGAGAATTTTTAGATCTTTGAGTTCAGCTCATGAAAAATGGGGGCAAAAACAAAAGTGTTGCATTTATAATTTTGTTCAGTGTACTTTGCAACTTTAATAGGATAGGAAGTTGCTACAATGAGTTTTACTGATATCTAATTTGGTGCTATTAAAGTGAAACACAATGCAAGGAACAATTATCTTTAAAAGGAAGCCTTTTAAAAGGTTCATTTGGAGACCTTTAATTAGTTAAGGCTTATGCGTGTTAACTTACTTAATTATGTCTCTGTGTGTTATGCAGGTATATATTTGTGTCTTTCCTGATGTTTTTGCATTAAAACATTTCAAATGTTCAATCTTTAAAGTGATAGTTCACCCAAAACTGAATCTTCTGTCATCATTTACTCACCCTCATGTCATTCCAAACTAGTATGAGTTATATATACACTAGCATTCAAAAAAGTATGAAAAGAAATACTTTTGTTCAGCATAGATGCATTAAATTGATTAAAAGTGACAGTAGATACATTTGCAATATTGCAAAATATTTTTATTTGAAATAAATTCTGTTATTCTAAACTTTCTATTTAGAACACTGAAAAAAGGATCACGGTTTCTACAAAAATATTAAGCTTCACACCTGTTTTCAACATTAATAATAAAAACATTTTTTAATACCATTTCAGAATATTTCTGAAGGATCATGTGACACTAAAGTAGCATAATGGCTGCTGAACATTCAGCTTTGCCATTACAGAATTAAATTACATTTTAAAATATATTAAGATAGAAAACAGTTATTTTAAATTAGAATAATATTTAAACCCCAAACTTTTGAATGGTGGTGTATAATATATTTTTACTTTATAGCAAAATATTCAAGTTTTTCAAAAAAAATGACTGACTGAATGATTCACTAAATGAATCAATCACTTAATGAATCACTGACTCTTCCTCTCTCATTTCAGGTGACCCCAGTGGCCGGACCACCAGAAGGGGGCACCAGAGTGACCATCCGTGGTGTGAACCTGGGTCTGTCCTTCTCAGACATGGTCAACAACGTGCAGGTAGCGGGAATCCAGTGCACCCCACAAGAAAACGGCTACATCATTGCTGAACAGTGAGTGACCGTAGAGCTGTAAAACTCTGTCTGAGATTAAAATGGAAAAAACTGGTTTAGCTTATCTTTAATCTTTCTCAAAATAGCAAGAGCTGGAAAAGATAATGTCCTACATTACACATACTGAGAAGCTGTTTCATGGGAAAAAACACCTCGGGTTTTCATCCAGTTCACTTTAAAGCACAGCAGGATGAGTCCATTAAACACACACAGGATCCAATGAACACGGCTTTGATGTCACAAACGTAAAGCAACCAATCAGGGCTAAGTATGAAAGACAGGGTTGGTCATGGTCTTCTCCTTTATGCTTTACTGAGTCTGTCTTATCTGACAAAAACATCTTAACAATGGCAGGAAAACATTTCTGTCTGAAGGGCTAGTTGTCAGCAGTGACCAGGGCTCCTGTGAAGCAGAAACAAGCCCTAATTAGAGTCCAGACAGACCTGGGTTGGTCTCCGCCTGCAGTAGGTCACATTTTTCACAAAAAAAAGCTTTTTTGTCTAAATTTTTATTTGATTAAGAAAAGGACTTTTGGTTAAAAGGTGAAATGTGTCATTTCTGCACACTAGCATTACAGAATTGCAAAAATGATGTTTGTTTTCAAGCAGGTTTCCTTTAAACACTCCCCTCATCTTTGATTGGCCAGACAAACAGCCCCAAACTCATGTCATTGGTTGAGCTGTTGCTGTGTCAAGCTTGTCAGAATTCTTAAACAAAGATGTTTTGAAATCTCCACAGTGTTTACACTTTGAAGAACTCAACCTACAGGTTTAGTTATAGTTGCCTCTGCATATTAAAATGTGATAGAAGAAAGCATATTAACAACAAAATAATTTCAGCTTTAAATTACCTAGGATGTAATTGTAATTTAATTTAGTTTAATTTAGTTGATAATGTAATTTCTGCTAAATGACTAAATGTAAATGTAAATTACCTAGGATGTATTTAGTGCTCTTTATTCTTCACGTAATACACTCCTCATTATCCGTCACTCTTACTGTCTTTTGCTCAAGAAAAATGTCAGAACTGACAGCTAACTGCATATTATTGAGATACTACAGTATTATAGTTTTCATTAATATTTTGAATTCGTTTTTTTATTTATTTTAATTTTAAAGTTTTAGTCATTTTGATTACAAATGTACAAAATCCCTAAATGAAAATGAGAACTAGAAGAAATAAAATAAGTTTAAGTTTTTTTTTATTAATTTATTTTATTTCAGTTAAATTTAAGTAACAATTTTTTTATGGTTTTAATTTTAGTTGACTATAATAACCCAGTGTTGCTAGCACTGGGTTACTAGGACACTGTATCACTGTATCCTACCATCTTTATTCTTGAGAGAAACAGATGTCAGCATTCACCATGTCCAGTTCAACAGAATGTGATGCGATTCTACGTTGCATTAAAACTCACCTCGACCTTATTGTACACAGGCATTCTGAACATTTGGCTTTCAAGAATTTATGCCATCATGTTGTAAGGGGGTATCAATAGCGCATAGCGTCTGCGTGCAGGTGGAGTATGTCTCCACAGCGCCTCTCTTTGCCGCTGAGGTGGGGACAGACGGAGCGATGGGGGAAACGTGCGGTAATTGAAATGTGTGGCGTGCTGCCGGCTGTAGGAGGGAGATTTGTCAGCCCTTCTCTCTTCTGACAGCAGTTTAATCCGAGCGGGACGAAGCCGAGCTGGATTCATTTGTATGGCGCGGCGAAGGGGTGTCACGAGGAAACGGAGAATGCGCCATTGGACCCCATCAAACCCACAGACGGAAATGGGAAGCAAATATCTGTGTTACAACAGTCCTGTCTGGTCGTTTTATACAAAACTTGTACACCTTAAGATACCCAAGCTTGCTGTAGATTATTTTATTTTTATTTATTTTTCCCCTTTTTTATATAAGTAACATAATATGTTAGAGTATGAGCACACACTTGTATTAGGTTGCGGTCACAAAAAGGTCCATTGTTTATTGTCAGTGGTGTAGCAATGGATGAAGCACAGCTCACATAGAAGTCACTTTCAAACCAAGTAACTTTCTGTTGCTCAACATGGCAAATTCACGTGACCAACTTAATTTGTGTGAGGAATCTTGCGCCCTCACTCGAAATTCCCAATCACATGGATTCCTATATTAATGACTGGTTTTCAAGCACAAAAATTCATGAACAAAGGTAAATGTGACTGCACCTTTACATGTCTACTTTTGAATGGCTATCAATGGAGAAAGGTGCATTTTTTCATCCACAAAATGGTGTGATAACAACATCTGCCTGCTAATTTCCAAAGCTCTCCAGCCAAACCTGCACCACGCAGCAGCAATGATTGAGCATTCCAACTTTTACCAACTTTAATTGCCTTAGAAGTGAAAGTCCTCCACTCAGAGTGATTGAGAGGGCATAATGTGCGCTGCGAACAGCTGTGAACGCTGTCTGCCGAACCTGTCAAGACTCACCGCAGGAAGCCACATCACGCCCACAATCACGCAGTCTGCGCCGCATGCGTTCCGACAGTCATCCCTGATGATGCAAACACTCGATATCACCCAAACATCGATTGCAGCACACCCGCCCCCGCGTGCTTTCAACTCAGATTTGAATTCTCATGTCGGTTTCATATTTACTTCGTTTGAGGGCCAGTCAGTGGGCTGTGTTTTTATTATGTCATTTGATCTGGCCACCCTTCCGTGAAGCCGATACCTGATCAGCCCGTATGATGTAGCAACATCGATCTGCTCCCTGATCAGAGTGCATGATAACGCTGTATTGATTTGTGCTGGGCGTCACTGGCTTTCCGTATATGGATGTTTCTGCAACTTCAGGCACTTAAATTTCCCAGGGGTTGATTGTTATTTTTATTTATTTTATATTTTTTTATTTATTTATTAAAACATCATTTATATTTGCATCTTTTGGAAAATTTTGCTGCATCCTTG